AGTACAACGAGATTCATCCGTCCTCATCTGGTGAGATCGACCAACAAATCTCTTCTTCATGCACTTTCCTCCGAGATAAAGGTCCCCCTAACAATGCTTGCCACATAGTTCGACAGACTACTGATGACATAGTTAGTAGAAGATTGTAACCGTTTATCTTCTGGCTACCTCTCTTACTGAGTGTGGGCCACGAACTGGGACAGACCACGCCGGAGGAAGGCGGTGAAGCAAAGCCCTTCAAACTGCCGAGGCCGGTTGAGCTCGAGTTAAAATGGCGACAAAATGACGGGCCCCCGACTTGCTTCGGATGTAAGACGAGCGAGCGGAGAGCACCTGCGTTGTAGCCCTACTTAAACCAAATGGCCCCGAGTACGCCTCACCAGTCGGAGCATCGATCGTAATGTAGCTACGCACACATAAAATGCACACCTACGCACACACGTGCGCATCCACACAGGCTGAGCAAAGTGAACGCGCCTCCCTGAACAGGGCCTTTTCGTAGACGTCTCAGAGCAGGTGGAATACGATCAATGAGATGGCTTTTCAAATCTGCCCTTAATAAACCCCAGTGTACATAATTTAACTGTGCAATCATATATTGGCCCCGTCTGTCCTACTCTCGACTTGCGGTCTCATCCGTTGGTTGTTTTTTTCCAGCTCTAGCTCTTCGTCGGGCGATCAATAACCACTGCATAATCGCCATCTTTCAATCTCGCCGCGCCACCGCCTGGTGGGTCGACAGTCAAGATCCGCTTTTCGGGCGGCCTGACTTCATCTGCGTCTTCTGGTCTGCCCATCAAAGAGACATTTGCGAACCGAGAATATTTCATAATATTGAGAATGAAGATGTCAAAGACTACTCTTATTATTATTATTATTATCAAAAGCACTCCTCTAAAATAGTAATGGGCTATTTCAGCAGTTGTTGCTGTATAAGACATTATGCGTACCCGCTCTTGATTGGTATTACTGTTGGAATGGATGAGGGAGCAACCTGTACTCTATCCTGCAGCCAGGGGTCCTTGTGTCTACTTGTGAGTAGCTGCTTTAATGATCATTTGAATAGTTTTCCCTTTTTTTGTGAATATTTACTAGTATTTGTCTGCTCACAACAGTCCTGCAGCATCAAGTAATTCACTCACCTCACTTTCTTCAGCGGCAGCATCATCGCTCTCAGGCGACACGCCAGCGCCTGGCGAGCAATGAAACCTCAAGCATACATCCAGTCAACTCGACTTGTGACGAGCCAAAATTGGTCTCTATCATCTGGCGGCAGGGGCCAATCAAAGAAAATCACCTCAAACCAACTATGACGAGTAAAAGCTTTCGACACGCGACTGACTCACTTGTTTCGTTAGCGCTTCGCTTTTCGGAGGACGAGGTGGTCTCGCAGCTTGTCGGTTCTTTGGGTGATCAGAATTACCCTTTCCACTGAGCTGACGACTCACTTGGCCTGAGACGCAAAAGGCAAAATCAGGTTTTTTTTAAGGATAATTCGACGATTTGGTAACTTGAAATGCTGTTAGATTTAAGTCCTGGCCGATACAGTTTGCGGCAAATGCTACACCCCTAATTTGTAGTGGTTTTCTGAAATTTCACGAACATGCTCTCAAACTCGATGCAAACTTCTACAGCCTCATTCCTTCGTAACATACAGCAAAGAGTGATTTTCCGAAAGAATTAGGCCACTTGGCATCGTCAGAATCCCACTTAATACATATGCAGTGACCCTTCTAAGTTCGCCTACATTTTTAATATCCAAGACTAGACGAACACAGTGAGAGAATAAGAATGACTGAATTCCAACTCCAGGTGGATGAAATTAAAGAGAGTATTTTACCCTTACATGAGAATAGCCAAAAAAATTCAGTTCTTTAAGAAAGTACGTATTCGTTGAATTTATTATCGTGTTCTACAAGCTATTTACTTGGTACGACGTGGAAACTTCAGTCCCATTATCCATAATCCCTTTATAGTAGGATTATAAAAAAGCTATGTGATCACCGGTTGGATGTGGGATAATTTTACTTAGGTCGTCGATAGTTTTTTGCTTCACAGCTATCTAAAGACTGATTGTTGTAGACATCCCTTTATTTCTACATGGTTTTGACTTCAGCGTTGCGATTCCCTTCACCATGTCTCTTAAAATGTCGCTCGTATTAGCAGGCTAGACTTTACTTTTGACCTAGCCCTACTATCTCATTAGCTCCTTAGGCAGAAAAATAACATTGAACATGCGGTTTAAAAGACTCTCAGTGTGACATTCTCCATGAAGTGGTATACATGCTAGTTGGGTCTTCCATCTCAGATAGCTGTAGTTGCTATCGCTGAAATATCAAAGTGGCTTAGTACAAAAAAACGGATTTTCTATTGAAGGAATTTCTTACCATTGCAAGGAGCACCGGAGAAGCCAACAGGGTCGATCGGAGCAGCTGAGATCACACAAATTTTCGGCCGCAGTCTTAAGCCAAGGAAGAAAAATTACAAATCCTTTATTTCTCATGAGGGAAGCCTATGAAGTTCAAATTCACAAAAATTATACCTTCTTAGAGGTGTAAAAACGACTTTGAGAATAATCACAGTTTCTAAAATGTCTACATTTTCCATGTCTTTATAAACATTTTATCATGTAACAGAACATTTCCTCTATATACTGATTAAGGATGCTATATTTACTTAAATAAACAGGCAAGACCAAAAGAGAGATGGGAATGGAAATAATCCCGAGAAAATTGAGTGAAAAGCTAAACATTTTATTCATGTTCAAAGTTAATAACTCTATAGTAAGAAAACACTGGAAAATTCTTTTATTAGTACAAACTTATGGTCTTCAGGCACTCTAAGCAAATCTGTGCTTGATGGATTAGAGGTATCTTGACTACTCTATCAATGAATTTTTCCTCAGTCCATTTTGATTCAAAGAAGTGGAGTGACAAGAATATGCAAACAATTACAAAAGAATGTCCAAATAGTGTCTTAGGCGGATAAGGGAGGAGTGACAGTGCTAATGGTCAGGAACCAGTACACGAAGAAAATGAATAGTAGACTAGACGACCAGAACACTTACCAAACACTAAGGAAGGATCCAACCACGAAGAGAAACGGGATACCGAAGGATATGCTAAAGGAAATGCATGACAGAGAAATCGAGAGGTGGATGACTAGGTTCTTAATTTAAAATGACGCAATGCCACCGGTAGCCTACGAACTGCTGAAGATGCACAAAGAAAGGAAACCATTAAGGCTAATAGTCAACAAAAAGCAGAGGGCGGCTAACAATCTAACGAAATTGATATGCTTGAAGCTCAAGCAAGTAAACGACGGACTCTCAAATACCGCAAAGAACTCACAGGGTAGGTCTTGAAGTACAATCCATTTACACAGACAGTTTATACGAGAAGGCAGTTATGGGCATGCTGAAGATCTTGGGACGAGAGGAGGATATCCTGAGAGCGGAGCGGATAAGGAAGGTATCTTTGAGATGATTGATCAATTGAACAATAAGTACTACATATTTTACATTTAACAGCAATATCTATGAGCAAATATTTGGACTACTCTCACTTCTTAG